CACCAGAGACAGAGTGGGGAGCAGAACAGGCAGATGGACGAAGTACACTGCCGAGGGGAGCAGTGGGAGGGTCAGGAGAGGCCTGCCTGGCCATGTGGATCTCCTCTGGGGCAAGCAGGGATCGAACTCATGCGGAAGTGGCTTAAGCTTTGTGCTGTGCTTTTAACCCGCTGCACCACCAGGGAGGGCCCAATAGTGTTAACTTTTTAATGGTTACAGAAATAAGAGTTACCTAGTCTACTAAGATTCTATTTTCCTCTCTCTCAGCCCATTTGGAAGAAAAATAGTATTAGTATTTAAATAAAATAGTGTTAATTTGAAAACTGACTTTGTTCATTAATAGAAGGACCTAGTTTTGACAAAGCTTGTCCTTTGAAATTATAAGCTGTTAGAAACTTTTGTTTGAAAATCCTGTTGGCTTTCAGTAGGATTTAATTGGAATACCCCACTTTTGCCAGGAAGATGTGAGCTGTGGGTTCACTTTGATGTACAACAGCAACCAAAGCCCACAGCTTCAGATAAAGGGTTGTCAAGACACAGAAGTTCATATTTATCTTAATTTTGTGGTTTCTAAGAACACAGAGCCTTAAGTTTGCTTCTCATACTAGTCAGATATTAACTGCTTTACTCACAGCCCTGTTTTGCTTTCAACCTCCAAACACAGCTCGATTTAACCTTAGCTTCACCCTTCTCCAATCCTGTAAAAACCCAGTGTCTTCCTCTGTGTGTCAAGGCACCTCATGATGACTCTGGAATGTACACTCCCCAGGATACTAAAACTTAACATTGTTGGTCTATAAGTATGTCCAAGTGGTCTTTTCCACATGGACATAAACAGGATTATGTTTGCTTATGCTTCATGAATTGTTCCGAATCCTGTCATAATTTTGTTTAGTTAGATCATAATATGTAATTTTTGTTTTCCTGAGGTTTTGCTTTTTTTCTATGAGATAAAACTCTAATTGTATTGTTTTTTTCCTATGAGATAAAACTTACTGTTGTCACTATTGAGATCTAGCAAAAACACATCACTGATTTAAAAATACCGGATGGTTTCACTCATAGCAGGAGTATAATGGACCAGGCGAGAAAATATCAAAAATAATGAACAACCATATACCAGAGACATTTTGTGGGGGTGGAGTGGGGAATGGGATCAAAAATGGGGGGGTGGGGAGGGAAATGCACTGGACTATGGTGATGGCACACGGGTGATTTGGTGATGGGAAACCCGTGGGGATTACAATCGAGATGGAAAAAATAATGTGCAAAATGATGTAAAAATAAACTTTTGGAAAAAGAAAAAAAAATCACTGATTTGAAATGCTGACAATGAACAGTTCTAACCAGGTTTCTACAATAACATCACCATGGCATTGCCAAGAACAAGTGGAAAGCATCACTGAGCCATGTATGCATCTGATTTCAAAGCTGTTCACCATGGAAGAGAGTATGTCTCTGGATCAATGGAATCAAACATTGCTTTACAGCCTTTTCACATAAATTTTCCTTCATTTTCTTCTGGGTTGTGTGCATAACGTGTAGTATTTTATATCTTCATTCTTCTACCTTCACTTTGCTGGGGTATATTCTGAAGTAACTTCCTTAGAAGGGATTTTTTAAAAAGATTTGTTTATTTATGCATACAGAACTGGGGTGCAGACCAGAGGTGTGGGGGGTGAGAGGATTCACCAGAGACAGAACGAGGAGCAAAACAAAGGACACTAGTGAGGGGAGCAGTGAGCAAGACAGAAGAGGTCCACTGTGCCACGTGGGTCATCACCCCAGCTGCAGCTGGCATTGCAGTGCTGTGCTTCAACCCATTGCGCCACTGGAGAGGGCCCCTTAGAAGAGATATTTAAGAGGAAAACTTTATAAGACCTTCATTAATATTTTGTTTGATATGAAATTTTAGATTCAGCATAATTTACTATTCAAACTCTGAGGACATTTCTCCAGTATCTCATAATGACCATTTTCAATTGTATTAAGGATGCATCGGATGTGGTCTAACAATACTAATTTTATGTGTTTTCTCTACCTGATGTTCTAAAAGTTTAAATTATTTCATTCTGTCTGGCCCTCAATGAACTGTTCTGTCTCAATATTTTTGTCTCTTTTCAGCTCTGGGAAAGTAGACTCGAGGAAGCCTGTCCTCTTCATCATTCATCCCCCTCGATGTTCCACATCCTGGGCTTGGTCCTATTCTCACTCCCACCTGCTGTTGACTGTGCACCAGAGCTGCAGTCTCTGAAATTCTACAGATGTTGTGGTGTCTCCATTGCTGTAATCCAAACCTGCATATTATGAGCTATAGAGTCCTTGTTCTACTGAATTCCCTGTGTTCTCTAGAAACATGTGAATCATTCTACCCACCCATGGTTGCTGCTGCCAGACTTATTCCTTTGGCTTAAGCCTTTACTACCCTTTCACGGCCAGTCTTGCAACTGGAATCAGAGAGCTCTCACCCCAGTGCTGAAAGCTTTGGGAATGGCTTATGTTTTATATGCTTTGCAATCTTTTATTCCTTACCCCAACCCCTAAATAGACCCAAATTTTATGAAGATATAAAACTTAATATATAAGCAATCTAAAGTTGTGTATAATCTCACCTCCATTTGGCCATCCCTGCAAAGAGGAGAACATGATTCACACTTCAACTGCAAAGCAGTTCTCTAGCAGCTCACCTGTTTCAGTGGCCCCTTCCGCTTTGTGCTTTGGGTCTGACTCAGGGAGTGGTAGGATAGTCCAGTGAGTCCAGTGTTCTTTGAATTCTCTGCTCTTTATATTCTCAGATATTTTGTGACCTTCCTTTGGCTTTTGTCAACCATCACTAACTTTTATTTCTTCATTCAAAGGATACTCCTGCCATGCTCACCAGTCTTACTGGGAGTGTTCAGCTGGTGCCCTAAGGGGACCTTGCTTCCAGTATTCTCTTTTCTCTTCCTTACAGGGAGAAGGGGACTGAAATGTTCAGAGCTTCTGTGGTGATTCCCAGCAAGGACAAGGCTGCCTTCCTCCTCAGTTATGAAGAGCTCTTGCAGAGGCGGCTGGGGAAGTATGAGCATGTCATTAGCGTACGGCCCCAGCAGCTGGTGGGGAGGCTGATGGTGGAAGTGAATATTTTGGAACAGTCGGGCATCACATCACTGGAGGTGCCAGGGCTGCAGAACAGAAAACAGAAGGGCAGTGGGCGAGGGGAAGGTGAGTGCTGTTTGCTGGGAGCTTCAAATCTTGCTAATAGCTCAGATAGGGTGTTAGCTCTAGTGAAATCTGTGAAGTTGATGGCTGCCCTTCATTAAGGCTCTGAGTGTTTGCAGGAATCTGAAAGAGCAACATTACAAAGACTTGTTTTATTTTTGTTTGGTAAAGTCAGGAAATTATCCAATGTTTAAGTCATTTGACACAGTAACCTCACTTCTGGGACTCTACACTACATGAAGCAGTCTAAGCTATTAGGAATGTTAGATGTATGGAACTGTTGGGTAATATTTGTATCAGTAAAAACATCTGTCATCCTAGATATTAAACCATATGGACATGATTAGTAAAATGAGATCATAAAACAATTCAGCATGTGACAGGGGGAAAAGACATCATTTTACATATACTGTAATGTTAAAGAAGTTAATTTTGTTACATATGAGACAGATAAATGTTAGAAAGTTATATAAAAATAGTTTGTACTGGCTTTAGAGACTACAAGGTCATTTCTAAAGACCTGTTTTGAAACTAACATAAACATCTAAACAATGTGCTATATTCTTTCTTAAATTCAGTAATGAAAAATACAGGCAAAATCAATTTTAGAAAGACATTTGGTTCACTGGTAGGAGACCATTCAGTTGTTGAAAAAATGCTAATTTTAAAAATAGCATTGTATTTATTGAAATGATACTGAAAAATTCAATGCAACTAAATTTAAATCACTATATTAATCTCAATTAGTAGTATGTAATGAATATTTACTTGTGTTGGAAAACAGGACAATGTATCCAAAAAAAATTCATCTGGAATAGAATGACAAGACTGAAGATAACTGTGCCCTTGAGGTCAGGGAAATGTAAGTGATGCAAGAAGTGAAAATGCAGAATCTGGATTCAACTCCATGACTGCAAAGAGAGTCCAGGGTGACTCTTTTGCTCAAGATGTCTAAGGAATGAGATTGGAAGGAGAACAATAGAGAAATGATTTGACAGTAAAATAAGAAGGTTTTAGTATTCAACAGAAAGCAAAAATCGTGATGACCGAAAGCTTGTAAACAGTGTGGGAAATGCACACGTGTCCCCTCCCCCCCATGAACACATACACACACACACACACACGCACACAGAGTGCTGAATGAATGACTGTCACCTGAGAAGTATTTACTCTCAAAATCTAGAGTGTGTTCTGGTTCTGTGGCATATTTTGGTCTCTTGTGGGTTGTGTCCAAGCACAAGAATTTGGTTATCAGTCCCATTCTCATTGAAAAATGAAAAATATTGTGGCGGTATCTGATACTTAGAAATGGTGTGAGATATACAGTATTCTTGTGGCAGAGAGGTGGCCTTGTGTATTGTTAATAAATTTTAGTTCAGTTAATTATGATCCTGAAAAAATGACCTAAGCTCTGTCAAGCAGGGATAAAACTATTGCATGTTTCCAAAAGAAATCCAGGGTAGAGATCAAATTGAAACTGGGCTTACATCAAGTCATGCACTGTAACTACAAGAATGTGGACTGGAGCAAGGAGATTCTTTTAATAGATCTGGCTATGATTAGGAAATCAGACTTCCTAATTTCTCAGAAACAAACCTCTAATCACTTGGCCATTTTCCTCTTAAGGGATACAGTTCTAGATGGGGACTGTCATGAGCTGGATATTAGACTCAACACTTGCACATGTTATTATCTTAGTCTGTTTTTCAACAACCCTATTGAGATATATTTTCCATCCACATTTTATTTGTGAATAAGTTGAAGTTCATAGCATTTAAGTAATAAGGGCATGTCCCCGTATTTGGTTGTTGATAGAACTTGTGTGGTGCTGTCATGTTCATGCCCTTAGTCACTACGTCATTGTTAAATAGAGTATGCTAAAATATTCAGGGTATGGGTCCAAATTCCAAGTCTCACAATTGCAAAGCCAACTTCTGTTCATTGTATAAATACAAAACAGGAAGGTTAAACGCGATCTAACCCACTTTTTGCCTCAGTTTACTTGTCTGTATCAGAATTGAGTCCACAGCTATCGAATTAGAAAATAGTTGGCTCCTTCTCAATATCAAAGCTAATTCTGGGAGATGTAATTTGGAAGACAAGACCTGGTTTATTAAAATAGTTAATTCACACACATGGTTCAAAAGTCTCAAAGATTCTAAGTCGATATACAACGAAAGACAAGACTACCACTCACCCTGTTTCCCAGTCTCTCTAGAGTCATTGGAAGAGAATATTTGAAACTCAGACTTTACTGTTTTGTGGTCTTCCAAAGACATACGCCAAGATGCACCTTCCATCCGTGTCACTGGATCAAAGCTTTTTTTTTTTTCACTTTTTATGCTAAAACCTCATATACTTCCCATTGTCCCATGCAACCTAAATTACTGTGTGTTCCATAATTTCAGTTTTTTTGTTTGGCAGAAAATTTTCATTTATGATGAGGTCCCTGATGGCTAGGAGTAAAAGAAAATGAACTAAATGAAATAAGACTTAAGGTATCTTATATCATTCCCCTTTGGGAACCAAATTCTCAAACTTGATTAGACCATTTAGGCCCTGGGCAGAGTGACAGAAATAAATACAGAAAATGGAATCTGATGACTGGGAAACTGAATTAAAAGTTACACAGGTTACATGTATGTAACTATGTTTTGGAGGTGATAATCCATGAATTTATATGAGAAATAAAAAATAAGTATTTCTTAAATGCTTATTTGTAATGCTAAAGAAAAATGTTTAGTATCCCTAAACAGGTGTGATTCTATGACTTTCATCACTTATCCTTTAGAGTCTTTGCTTTAAAAAGTCATTGAGGTTTAGTTAACATGGCATGAAATGTACACATTTTAAGTGTACAATTCACATTTGCAGAGTTGTCCAACCATCCTCACAATACAATTTTAGAACATGTCTGTCATCCCCAAAGATCCCTGACTCCAATGCAGTCACTCCTAGTTCCCACCCAGGCCCCAGGCAACCACAACCCACTTTCTGTTTCTGTAGATTTCAGACAGCTGTCATTTGAAAGGCATCCCAGGTAATTCTAAGGCTTGGTAAATGCTGGGAACCCCAACTATGTACTTTCCATAAGAATTGAGAGGTGTCAACTCTCAAGATCTTGATTTACAGGAGCAGCTGTTTAATTAAACAAAATTATTCTTTTAGTCATGGTGTCCTGAGAATATTCTAACTTTTGATCCTTGTTAAAATGTGTATCATTCCACTTTCCCCTAACACTTTTCTATTGGATTCAGGCCAACATAGTTATTCACAGTTGTTAGAAAATAACCTTTTCCCATAGTCAACATCTGTTCAAATACATAGAAATTTGAGATGGAAAACTGCCAGTAGGCTATTGGAGTGGGGCTGGTGTGGCTTTTTAATATATGCTCAGCTCCTTAATCTAGGTAACCCAGCTCTTCTTAGAAGATACAGATAGGATCACTCAGTACTTTTGATATCAAAGAGCACTTCTGTTTTACTTGTTTCTTCCCTTGGCCTTGTGGGAATAATCCCCCTCCTGCTCTTCTCACTCTTTCCCCTTCTTGCCCACTCTTCCCTGTCCTTCCCGGTGCCAGTTTGAGGAAAGAGGATCTGACCTTTTAAAGTCCAGATTAGGGTTAATCTTTGTCCTTTCTATTTCACACAACTCCACTGTCTGGCTAAGTGTCCCTGAATGTTACTGTTCACAAGAATAGCCAGGGAGCAATCATAGATCTATCACCCAATGTCTTCCATACCATTAAATCTGAATTGCTTGGGATGTAAACCAGGAGTTTTTTTTTTTAAAAAAGATTTATTTATTTATTCATTCATACATATAGAGCTGGGGTACAGGCCAGAGATGTGGAGGGTGAGAGGATTCACCAGAGACAGAGAGGGGAGCAGAACAGGCAGATCCACGAAGTACACTGCTGAGGAGAGCAGTGGGCGGGTCAGGAGAGGTCTGCCTCGCCATGTGGATCACCTCCGGGGCAGGCGGGAATCGAACTCATGCGGAGGCTTAAGCTTCTTAGTGCTGTGCTTTAACCCACTGCGCCACCAGGGAGGGCCCCAGGAGTTATTATTTTTTTTCTTTTTCAACAATCCCTAGGTGATTCCAATGAGTAGCAGGATTCTAGACCATGACATCTTGTTTTCATTGTTCAGGATATAATCAGGCTCTACTGTAGGCAAGGCAGTTTATTCAAGGTTAAGAATCATGACCAAGGGGCAGTCCCAAGGTGTATTCCAACTGTTTCAGGACCTAAGGATCAGGCAATGAAGTGGTCTGAGCTTAGGTTATTTGTAGTGACACTTTTGAACTGATTCCTAAATCCATGTGTCTATGTCTGATAGATGAGCAGGAGTCTTCAAAGAGAAGGCTGCAGGGTGGGGGTCTGCCGTCATGTCGAGCGGGTAGGCTCTTGTTTTTTCATAGTCACTGAATGACTGAGTCAGGCTTTTAATTTTCACTAATAATTTCAGCATGGCAGCTTAGAAACACTATTTAACTCAAAACTGACTCCACATTTTTAAGTGTTAATTGGCATTCATTCCTATCCCTCTGTGCCCTGTGACTCTTCCAGGGCTACTAACCATATTCTCAAGCCTCTCAGTGGGAGTCTCTGAGTGATTCTAATCCCATTTCTGCAAAATTGACAGACTCAAGTGATACTCGTGATGATACCCTAACCTGGCATGGAAAGGAAATTTTAGTTTAAGGAACAAGGATTTCTTGTGCTCCTTGTTCCTGAAAAACATAATGATTTTCAGTTTTTTGAGGTGTCTGGATTGCCATTGAGGATGGTCCACCCATACTCGAGAGTCAGAAGAGAAATAGAGTATCAGTGTGCTCTCTTAAAAAAAAAAAATACGGTGGCATTGATCATATGCCAAGTGCAGGGATGAGGATGTGACAGCTCTGGGTCTTGGGGAAGTCCAGAGGCCTGGTAGCAGTTCTTGAAAAAGCAGAAGGGGAGAAAATATTTTCAAATCATCTATCTGATAGAGTCTAACCC